ATATTAAGTCTTGAATTCAGATAAGGTTCTCCCACTTTATTCTTTTTCAGTATCATTTTAGCTCTTCTTATTCCTTTGCCTTTCCATATATGTTTTAGAATAATCTTATATATATCTACTATAAATCTGGCCAGGATTTTTATGGAATTGCATTAAACCTTTATGTCAATTTGGGGAGAACTTATATTTTTACTATTTGGACATAGAAAATCTCTTCATTTTTCAAATACTCTTTAATTGCTTTCTTCAGTGTTTTTTAGTTTTAAGTATACAAGTCTCACATGTTTTGTTAGATTTACAATAAGCATTTCATTTTTTGAGCAATTATAAATAGTACAGAATTTTAAATTTAGATATCTACATGTTATTGCTGTTATACAGACATGAAATTGATTTCTGCATGTTGATCTTATATCCTGGAACTTTGACGAACTCCCTAGTTCTACAGTTTTTTTTTATTTCCTTCACCTTTCTACATATCATCTGAAAATAGGGACATTTTAATATATTCCTTTGCAATCTGTACACCTTTTATTCCTCTTTCTTGCCTTATTGTGTTGCATATAACTTCTACTACTATCTCAAATAGTAGTGGTGATAGCATTGTGATAGCAGTGGTGAGAGTGAACATTCTTGCCTCATGCCCAATCTTAGGGGGAAAAATTCTGTCCACATTTCTTTACTTTTACGCAAATAACTCATGCTTTCTGTATTTGTTTGCCAGCTGCATCCCTCCTTCCAAGAACTATTTTCACAAGCTCACTATGCTAATTTTTTTTACAGCAACATATAAAAAAATTAGTATTGTAGTGCTTATGAAAACACCTCATGGAAGGAGGGCTCGGCTGGCAAACCAGTGAGGAAGGCATGCATTATTTTCACAAAACTTCTGTAAGGGTGCTGTTTACTTGTAGAATTTTTGTAGATGTTCTTTATCAATTTGAGATTGGATTATTGAGAGCTTTTATCATAAATAGATGTTGAATTTTGTCAAATGATTTTTTTTTTAAAATCAACTGACATAATCCTGTGATTTTTCTTCTTTAATCTGTTAGCATGGTGGACTATATTGATTCATTCTTAATTATTTAACCAGCCTTGTATCCTAATACCTCAAACTGAATTTATCATCTTCTCCAATCTGATATGCTTTCTACATCTGTCACTGAAGGTAACACTCAATCCAGAAACTGAGGAGTTATTTTAGATTCCTTCTCTTCCTTAACACCGCACATCTAATCATCAACAAATCGAAAACATTCTCATTGCTTGTCTGCATTACCGTAATAGTTACTCATTATGTCCCCCACACTCCAATTGCTCTTTTCAAGTTTATTCTTTGCAATAAATTACCCATTTCATACATTTTCTCAAATGTAAATCCAAGGTTATAATTTCTCTACTGAAAACACTTCCATGGGTCCACAGTCTGCAAGATATAGTTCAAATACTCTAAGCAGTCATCAGTCTTTGCTGATTTGATACCTTTATACCTGGTCTCTCTCTACCACTCCAACTTTCACTCTTGACCTCCTCCTCCCTGCCATTATATTTCAATGATATGTAATTAGTACTAGCTATGGGAATATACCATCACATTGACCACATTTCTGTTTTTATGTGAGATAATCTTACAATCTGAAATGCCCTACTAGCTTCCTATCTGCTTGGTGAACTCTTATTAATGCCCTGCTCAGACAACCTCCTTCATAAAGCCTTATGCCCACTTGTATCCTGACAGAAGAATAATGATCTCCTCTGTCCTACATCTATTTTTCCTTCTCTTAATGAATGTACCACACTGCATACTTTGTTTTGTTACCTATTTATTTCCTCCCCTAGAATAAATACTTCTTGTGGTCAGGTGCCTTATTATCCTTTGGTACTCCAGGGTTTAATATATAGGAACACAGTAAATGATTAATGCATGTTGAACAGGAAGACATAAACTAAACATTGGAATTTCCAGAACCAAGAAATCCTTATAGTATTATAATGATTGGTGAAACATCTTGGGAGACAAAGGCAGAAAGCAAATGAAAAACAATAGCACATTTAAGAGAGAGTTACATACACTGGCATGATTAATAATGCTAACCCCAGTTTCCATATGAGAAGACCAAAAAAAACAAAACCAAAATCACCTCTATGGAGTCAGATCTGACTCATAGCAACCCCTCCTTGGGTTTCCAGAGCTCTGGTGGCATCGTGCCTAAGGCATTTGACTGCTAACCAGAAGGCTGGCAGTTCAAACCCACCAGCCACTCCTCAAAAGGAAGACTGGCAATCTACTTCTGTAGTTATACTGCCTCGGAAACCCAAGGAGGGGTTGCTATGAGTCAGGACTGACTGGACAGCAGTGAGTTTGGTTTTTGGTATCTCTATGGAAATAGATTCCCCAATCTTTCTTCTGAGGAGTGGCTGGTGGATTTGAACCGTCAGCCTTCTGGTTAGCAGTCAAATGCCTTAGGCACCATGTCAGACGCTGAATTCAGAACAAATCCCCAGAGAAATTCTTATTTTGACAATTTAATCTCCTTTCTTTAAAAAGTAGTTGAACAGATTATCCAAGAAATGAGAAGAAGGTGAATGAAAGTGGAATAAAGACAGCAGAGACTCTCAGGGCAGAAAAGAACTTTAATGAGGAGAGGAGAAGCCAAATAGCCACAAAGGGCAATACAATCAGCGGCCTTCTGATTCATCCTTTGTTCAGGCAGAAGCTAGTTCAAGTGAACAATTCAACAGTGAAATATGCTCTTGACTTGCAGGGGAATAAATTATTGAAAGTTTCCCTGAGAATCATACAACATCATGCCCTAGATCTTTATAGCCTGCTCTATGACAATCACAAATCTTTTCCTGTGGTCTCTTACCAGAGCTCTTAGGGAGAAGTGACAGTACTCGGAGCATCTAGATTACAAATTCTTCCTTGCAATCATCTCATGCTTAAATAGAGAAAAGCTTTTCCCTTGGAGCCTAGAAAAATATGTGCGGAGCAATTTCTTGAGTACTAAAGAGAAAAATCCAACTTGCTTTGTATTTTCCTTTGCACAAAATCTGTGGGTCTGTAGCAGCTTTGTTACAGAGATATCATTAGAGTCCCCATAAGGTATCAGCCCCAGGAAAAACATCTCACATTTGTAAGGTTTTCAAAAACTGCTCTCAGCTACATCCGTAGTTGTTATAGAATCTTCATGACTTTCAGTCTGGAAAAAAATCAACCTCTTACAAACCATATTTCTCAGAATTATACAAGTAATAAATGCATACATATTTGTGTTTTAAAATACAAACAATACTAATGTTCACAGAGTAAAGTGCCATTTGTATTCTTTCTTTCCCATCTTTACATCAACTCACTCTCTTAATTTCCTTTGGGCCACTTTTCAACTTTGGTATACTCCAAGGATTTTATAATAAAAACAATCATGGTTTTCTTGAACATGAACACATGCCAGAATCCCAAATGTTCCCCTCTCAAGACTTCTCCCAAGTATTATCCATTCCTTCTGTACACAGGTGAGTGCTATCTTGACTTTTAGGTAATCAATTTTTTTTCTTTCTAGTTTTACCAACTAGCCTTGTGTGGTAGTTAAGGTTGTGTGTCAACTTGGCTGGGCCTGGTTTTGAGTGGTTGGGCAGCTGGATGTAGTATTCCCCATGATGAGACTGGTAATCAACTCCATGGTGGAATCTACTGTGAGCAGCTGAGTAGCGGCCTTACAGATGTGGTCTGCTTCCTGTATATAAGGAGAAGCTTTGAGAAAGGTCTTTAAACTTTTTTGCATGCGTGGACCCTGCATGTAGCTGAGTCTTCATTCAGCAGCCTGCCATGTTGTCTGCCAATCTTGGGACTGTTTCTGGACTTGAACTAGTGGCCTGCCATGTTGCTTA